CTTTTCCTTTCTATATGCAAAATACGCAAACTCTTTATTTATGTGGGAGGATTTTCCCCAAAAGAATTTACACAATAGTCTTCATAAACTAAATAAAATAATATTCAGTATTATAAGCTCAGCATTGAAGAACAACCCTATAGTGCAATAACAAACCAATGTGAGCGTGCAGTCGAAGAGTAGAGAGATTTGCTAAGGGAAATCAATTTCAGTTTCAACTGTCTAAGGGGCCATTATAATAGGAAGAGACAACTATTGTCAACATTGTGAAAAGTTTTTCTCTAGACAGAGGCCTGTACAGAACAGCTTTAAGTTTCATGTAATGCTAGAGAAAAGATACAATGTCCAAAGCAAGGTCTACCATCAGTGACAAAATTCTCACTATCCTGAACTGGCATGAGAAATAAATGTCTGTGTGAAAAGTTGCTGTTTGGTGAGTGTGTTTTCTTTTCCCACCATCTTCCCATGGTCACAGGATCAGCAGACCAATGGAGCTGCAGATCTCTGAGAAATATCACGGCCAGAGGAAAAGTTACATACCTGGTTTTCTGAACTTCTATGTATTTAGTACTGGACTCCCTCAAAGAGAATGTCTTGCCAAAAATACTTTATAAGACCAGTAGTGCCTGAAGAATAAGTCCTTCACTGCTTCAAATATTTATTTGTAATGAGTTCCCCTCCACCCCTTTTTTGCTATGTAATTAGATATTCCAAGAATCTATGAGCACATTAAAATATTTCCTATTTAACTTCATAGCAAAATAGATGTGGGTATGAGCCGTAAGTTAGGAGCTAAATGGCACATGGTAAATCCATATAAGGGATTCATATTAAACTTATGGCAAAAAAATATTTTCTGAATTATACTGTATAAAATAATTGTCAATAGTTATTTACTATCACCATATATGTGGTGAAAATATAGTGGAACAAAGTTATCAGAGCATATAAAGAGAGGAGTTATACAAACACTTAATTTAGCTTTTAATCATCAATGTTCTGTTACCATTTATAAGATCAAATAGTAAGTATTTCGGTTTATTTTAAATTAGTATTTAAGAAATCATCTGCACCTATTCAGCAGTTTATAGGAGAAGGGTGAGGAGTGATCTAATATTGGACCCAATCCTGGAATGCTGAAGTCAATGGGAGTTTTGCCATTGACTTCAATGGAAGTCATTCCCCTAATTCTGAAAGGGTAGATGAAAGATCATGTCTAAACTGTAGGTACCATGTCTGACCCTACTGATAGGCAGAACTAAATTTTCCATGACAAAGTCAGCTCAGTTACAAATCCAGTTGAACTATAAAAGCAGGTATTTCAAACACAAGCAACTTAAATATTTTCTTTCTAAATGATCATCTAACATGAAGATTGTTGCATCATCTGCAAACTGGATTCTGAATGCAGTGATTTTATTTATTCAGTTAGTCTCTCTGATTCACCCACATAAAGGCAGGCTTGCTGTATCAAAAGGACCTGTACTCTACTGGCACTCTTTTTCAATGCTTTGAGACCTGGGAGCATATCCAGTTCCATTTTCTAGTTTACAGTAAATGCTGTAGCACACTGATCATATTTCAAATAAAAATAAATTGCAGATCTGGCAATGTTTCAAAACACTGACATTTTGGTGAGCAGACTGACACTTATTCTAGACATATCATTTTATTATCTTTTTAGAAATCATTCAATTAACATTTTTTTCATTATCTGAGTAACTAATATAGAGCTGTGTGAATTAGCTGCGAATAACTTTGACTATGGAAGTGTTCTTAATAAAATATTGGTGAATAATTCTTTCTTAATTCACTCACCTCTAATTAATTGTGGGACTTATACTTTAGGTAAGACTACATGTTATATCAGGGGTAAGCAACCTATGGCACATGTGCCGAAGGCGGCACGTGAACTGATTTTCAGTGGCACTCACACTGCCCGGGTCCTGGCAATCAGTCCGGGGGAGTCTGCATTTTAATTTAATTTTAAATGAAGCTTCTTAAAAATTTTAAAAACCTTATTTACTTTACATACAACAATAGTTTAGTTATATATTATAGACTTATAGAAAGAGACCTTTTGAAAATGTTAAAATGTATTACCGGCACGCAAAACCTTAAATTAGAGAGAATAAATGAAAACTCGGAACACCACATCTGAAAGGTCGCCAACCCCTGTGTTATATCAATACGGTACACAGACAGTTACAGCACCAATCTCACACTCGTGGCACTATCCAAAATTTGTAATAATATTCAGCGCAAAATTGTGCTCGCCATTAATATATTAATTAAGCCGCCATATGAAAGTGGTGCAACTAGGCTAGTGTGGCACACAGGGGCTGTAACTCAGCTTGTGGATCTGACCCCAAATCTTCTATTGCCAATATCCCCCAAGCCTTTATCACTTGAGCTAAAGGAAAATCTGTAACTACTGAAGCATTTAGGCTTATGTCCTCTGGGTAGGCCAGCCAATAGACAATGACATGATTTCACACACTTGAGAAGTTCTTACATACATACCCATTGTAGTGGTTCTTTGACCGTTCCTCCCCATCAGGCTCGGAGGGAGGCCACTCTGCTTCACTACCTCACACAGTAATGGAGTCAATTAGCAAGCTAGGACTCTGATCCTCTGGTCAGAGCAAAGCAGCACACAGTCTATTGCCCTAACCCGCAGGGGAGCGGGGGGGAGGCAAGGCAATGAGCAATCTTTTGATATAGTCTTCGGGCTGGAGCGAACAGCAAACACAGCCTATGGGCGGAGCAGAGCAATAGGCTGTCTTTAGCCTATGTGAGTAGGCCTGCTGGCCTCAAGTGAGTAGGACACCAGCCCACAAAGGCGGGGGGGGATCAGGGGTAGGGGACCCGGGTCTACCCTACTCCACCAGGTCCCAGCCCAGGGCCCTAACAGTTGAGGATGGTTCCACCACTAGGTCAGCAGGGAAGTCACCAAAACAGACTGAATCATTTTCTGGTCACACAACCAGACTAATGTCTGGTTTCTCTGGGTTACTTCCTACCCCTACCTGTTTGTAGGGCTCCATTGCTCGGGGGTCCTCAGTCTCCTCTGGGCAGGGCCGGCTTTAAGGCGATTCACCTGATTCGGGCCCCGCAACGTCCCTAAGGACCCTCCGCCGAAGGCACCGGCAGCCAATTGAGCTGCCGCCGAAGTCCCGCCCCTGTCTACGGCGGCAGCTCTTTTGAATCGGGCCCCGCAGTGCCTAAAGCCGGCCCTGACTCTGGGTACTCAGCAACTGGCAGTCCAAGCAGTTCCTGAAGGTACTCATCTGGCGGCAGTCCCAGCAGCTACTTAGGGCACTTGTCTGCAGGCAGTTTTGGCAGCTACGCAAGATACTTGGCTGATGGCAGCCTCAGCAGCTCCCCTACCTTGGGGTTCTCCTCCAGGGGAAGGGATTGGTCCCTGGTCCAGGAGCCAGCAGCAAGGCAAAGGCATCTGAGTCCTTCCCTGACTCTCATCCCACTGAGTTAGAGGCCTCACCTCTTACACTTCCTGTCCTGCCTCTCAGCTTCAGGTGCAAGGGGCAAGGCTTGCCTGGCTCTGCCCACCATCAGGTGAGAGTGGGAGGCCACTGTGCCTCACTACACCCATAATTGTCTGAATGTTAGAAGATGGTACAATACTCAGTCTCTTCTGATCTGGGCTGGATTTGGTCTAGGCCAGCAGTTCTCAAACTGTGGGCCAGGACTCCAAAGTGGGTCGCAACTCAGTTTTAATGGGGTCTCCAAGGCTGGCATTAGACTTGCTGGGGCCTGGAAATGAAGCCGAAGCCTGAGTCCCACCGCCCAGGGCCAAATCCCAAGCCCCACTGCCTTGGGTCAAAGCCGAAGCCTGAGGGCTTCATCCCTGGGTGGCAATGCTCAGGTTACAGACCCCCATCGCCACCTGCGGCTGAAGCCCTTGGGCTTCGACTCCCTCCTCCCCCCCACCTGAGGCGGAGGGACTCGGGCTCGGGCTTTGGTCCCCCATCCTGGGGTTGTGTAGTAATTTTTGTTGCCAGAAGGTGGTTACAGTGCAATGAAGTTAGAGAACCCCTGGTCTAGACTCTGTGTCCTATTATTAATTCTTTAAACCACATAGCTGCCTGACCTAAGCTCCTTTTGTGCAAATGACTTCTGGTCAATTGTTGTTTCTGCTATAGTTATTGCTTTCTTACTATTAATGAGCTCAATTAGCTGAGAAAGAACCCCATGAGTTCTACCATTTACTGGAAAAAGAAGAACAGGAGGACTGGGTTTCTAACTATTAACCAGCTAGCAATTAGCTATCACAATACTATGAACTAAAATACAGAAGCTTTGGCACAGGATAATTCAGGCTAACATCTAGAAATGGAAAACTATCTAGAAAATGTTTTCATCAGATAGGGCAGAATATGGGGCATGTTTCTTCACCTTTCAATGTGTTCTAGCCAGACTCTTGAAAACAAAAATTGTGAAAATAATAAAGTAAAATGTAAGCTAAAATAGGAACATTTTTCAGATGTTGTCAGGTGTCATAGGAGATGTACCCAAGAATGTTATGAATAAAAAAGAGATTTTGTTATTATATACAGCTAATGTTACAGCTGGAGTTGTTCTGTTGGCTGAGAACATGACATCACTTTTTGACCTAAAATAAACAGAAACTTTCACAATAGAGCTGGTCAGAAAATGGTAAACTTTTTATGAAAAATTTTTGGAAAGAAATGAAAACTGGGGAAATACGTTTTTGGTCAAAAATTTCAGCTTGAGATTTTTTCTGCCAAAAAAGATGGAAATTTTCTTAAAAAAAAATAAAAATTTTTCTGCAAAATATTTTTATTTTGAGAATAGGTCATTTTAAAAAAAAATTTGTAATTAAAAAAAAAATCAACCAGCTCTAATATGATGGGTATAGTAGACATTGAATTAAGGCAAAATTGCAGCAATAGGGTAGGAAAATGTTTTCAGAAGCACAACACAAAACACAAACTAGACATTTTGGTGTCTAGGGGAAATGTTTGCCCTTTATATTGGAAAAGGGAGCTGTGGTGCATAATAACAGTGACTTCAGAACAAATCTTTGGGCCATACGTCTCACTGCCAGGCTCATTTACAATCTTTGAACTCGGGCAACAGTTTTCCACAACTGATGTTAATAATAGTACATTTACAGTACAATTGTAAGTATTTATTTTACATCCGACTTTCCTTCAGCTGCCTGTCAGCAGGAGCTCAGGTAAAGCTTATGATTATTTCTTCCTTTAAACCACAAGGGACTCATGGAGTTGTAATTAAAGTCATGTATTTTCCTGAATGAACTATACAAAATATGTTAAGTATTTAACCATATACTGAAGGCTGGTCATTTTGATCAAAGAGATGGAGAAATAGCACTAACAGAGGACGAGAGTACTGGAACTCTTTGGGAATCTGAATGTTTGTGTTATAATTTATACAAAAGTAGGACTATGTCTGGCTACATAAATATTTTTAACAAAGCACTGGCTTCAGAGAAGAAAGGGAGTAGTGCAATTTTCTTGATTTAAACTCACTATTTTGCAGACTGTTTCCCCTATTTAAGCAAAGATCACTTTTTTATTTAAGTCTGTTTTAATGTAATTTTATGTTGGTATGGGTTTTTTCCCCTCGGATTTTTAGATCTGGACACATCACCCATCCATCAAAGCAGCTGGGTTTCATAACAAACTGTTTTGTTTAATCTTTTCCTAAATTCTTGTCAACCAAATGCAAATAGAAAATATGGAGTTTAAGAGTACATTTTTATTGCAATTAATAGGATTTAATTGCCCTGTTCTCATTAACATTTGTTGGAATTGTATGGCTAAATCTCCACAAAAAGTATTAAATTTTTACTCCTAAAATATTTTGCCTTGCTTAAAAAAAAAAGTACTGATTTAAATATTTTGTAACAACCATAAGAATAACAAGTTTTGTTTATAACTGGAGATGCTCACTCTTCTTGCAGGATCTTTTTAGTTTGAAGATGCTCATATAAATTGGAAATGTTAATGCTTTTGTTTTAATAATGTGTTTTATTCCTTTTCAGTAATCAACAAATCGGAGGAGGGTTTGATAAAAAATTGACAATTTTAATAAATACATGAATAAATCTAAAAAAGGTTGGACAATATGGGCTTTTAAATGTGATTCTAGATAAACAGGCCAGTGTGGGTTTCTAAATATTAATTTAGATAATTTGGCCCATCTAATCGAATGGACTAACCAGATATGATAAAATGACTCAAATCTTTGCTTGTTCCTCAGACTGAACCAAAACCAAACATTTTCTGAAATGTTGAATGTTTTGTTTCTTTTATTTGCTTTTGTTACATGGTAACTTTCTGTTAGCACCAGCACAAGTGTCAAAACACTTTAGGCCAATTCTGAATTTTTTTGCTTACGTAAAGAGCTCATTGATTTGCACAGGAATTTAGCTATTGCTGAAGTAAGGATCACAGAATTTTTGCTTGTGCTATTGGGCCTACTGTTTTATCTGGGGGTACTAAAAATACAGCTTATAAAACCTTCTCTTTGCTCTCCTGAACACAAGTTGATTAGAACACTGAGATTCTATAGGTTTTTTTTTAATTAAAATATATTCAGATCCTTTCAGAATGAAATGATGAGAAAGGTTGTATGTGGTATATCACTTAGTACTGTGAGAGAGGTATCAGAATATTCTAGGTGAAGAAGAACAGGTTGTTGCCTTAACATCCACTAAGGAGGAAACCTGTGGTTGAACAGAGTTTATTACAAAATAAAAGTTAGAAATGAAATCCTCGGAAGATTAGAAATGGGATACAGAGCCTTTCACATTAAGGTCACTAGTTCAAATACAGCTTAGGTCACCACTAACGGAAAGTCATTACTAACTCATGGTTGGTCAGCTGTCTGCATGAAATGAATTGGTGGTCTCAATCCAATTCCTAATGGACAGGAATCCATACCACTACCACAATTGGCACCTTTGTCGTAAGTCTCAATTAACAAGCCAATGACTGAATTGAGCACAGACACAGAACAATCCTTTCACCCTGACAGGTGGTACCTCAAAAAACAGTTTAGTAAGACTTGTGGTAAGATTGTTGCTGGTAGTTGCTACTTGCATTCCTAACTAGTAATCAAGATAGAAAATATCTGGGTTGGATTCTTAGTGCTGTGATGCCCAAATAAATTCTGGACAAACAAGCTATTCTTAACTCTTTCATCAGGGTAGTGATTTCTCTATTACTTAAAGACCACATTATTACCTCCATATATAGCCCATATCTCTCTCCTACATGATATCTTCCTTCAACACCAGGAAAAGTACTCAGTTTACAACTTGATGAAAATAGGATTACTATTTTACATCATATAATAGTTCTTATGCACAAAGTGCTTTACAAACATTAATAGATCCACACAACACCTCTGCAAAGTAAGTAAGATATCCTCAGCTCCTTGTGTAGTCTGTGATTCCCCTGGTATAAATTTGGTGCAGAATTCACCCCTTGACACAGAATCATGATTGAGAACCTCCACTTTCATTTAAATAAAAATTATTTTTCTAACCTTACCTTATGGTTGCAGAGACAACCTTGAAAATGTAAACTGATGCCTGTCTGAGTCTGCAAAGAGCCTGAAACACTTACTCCGAGAGGTGTGCATTGCCACAGTCATCTCACAGGGACCCATGGATTCTGTGATTGCATGGCCATGGAATTTAGCCTTTTTTTCAAGATATTACAAAATTCAGCATTGTTGCTACAGAATTGACTATTTTGCTGTCACCAAACACCCAGCATTTTGTTCTGTCTCCCTGCTCTGTTGAGATCTATGCGCACCTACCTCTTGCTCTCCACCTTTCCCCACAAGGGGAAATTAGTTGCATTACAGGGCATGCTCCCTCTAAAAAGCCAGGCAGGAGACAGGACATTCCACAGCTTCAGAGCCACAAAAGTAAATACATACAGTAATGCCGAGTTTCTCAAAAGAGCTCAGACCTTCTTTTGGAAAATGGCCAGATTGTCAAAAGAGATCAGCATTCTGGAAGATGAGCTTTTTTTGAAAAGAAAAGAAAAAAAAATAAAGGTCACTAGTGTCACAATCAGCCAGATTCTCAAGTGCTCAGCACTGTCATGGGGTGTATGTACACTGGCCCAGGTACCAAAGGGTTAATACAGGTACTTCGAGCCACTGCTGATTGTAAGCCTCACAGCAGCTAGGAGGATAAAAGGGCTGGGAAGCAGAGGGGAGGGGTTGCAGTTGTGAGCAGGTTGGAGAAAGGAGCTCCTGCCAGCAAATTACTTAACAGCTTCACAACAACAGCCCAGGAGGGAACAGACTGACCAATAGGCTGGAGAGCCTGCAGAGATCCAGGGGCAGATAGGAAGAAGCTTGGGGCGCAGTCAAAGTAAAAAAACCTTGATCCTACTTATCTATCTCAAGGGCCCTGAGCTGGAATCCAGTAGAGTGGGCAGGCTCGGGTTCCCCTACTAACCTCCTGATGGACTTGGGAGAGACGAAAGGGTTTTCAGATTCCTGGACCCAGGAACAGATTGGCAGCCCTTCTAGGCTATGTGAGCCCAGGAGCTTAGCCATTGCACTGAGGCATCACCTCAAAAGCACCCACAATCAGAGCCAGATTTTCAAAAGAGCGCTGTTCACAATTAGGCAACTAACTAAGGCGATTTACAAAATGCTAAGCATCCAACAGCTCCTTTATGGCACTTCTAGCCAGATTTTTAAAAGAGGTAAGTATGCCAACACATTGCTCTCTCTGCGAAAATCAGGCCCAAAGGAGCTGCTGGGTGCTGAATGCTTAAAAATCTGGCCCTAAGCATTGCTGGTTCTGCAGTACCTATTACATTTCCAAGATCAAAATCCCTAACTCCTCAGACCCTCAAACCATAAAGGTACCAGAGGCTTGGCAAGATAAACCTGACTCATTTCAGTTCATGAGGCTTTTTGAAAGTTAACAGGGAGGCCTTAAAATTCAACACATGCACACTTACATCTAAAATAATGTGTCAAAATGTCATTTAGGAGGCAGTCAGTCTTACGGGGAATATTAAGTTTAGAACATATTTAATAGCAATCATTTTTGAGACAACCTTACCAGTATAATTTAAACGACCTTTCTGAATCTTGTCATCAGGACACAGTCTCTCTTAGACATCAGCTGTGCAGGGGGAAATTCTTTCTTACAGAGAAAACCTTCCTCTGAGAGAAAAATCATTAGGCAATAGAATATAAACAATCTGGTCATGGTCATTGTCTTCTTTTTTTGGCTGGAAAAAGCAACTTCCTGGATTCTGAAATATGTTGTTGATCAACACATTGTTTCAAACTGGAACACTGGAAACTACTACAATTAGGAATTTTAAACAGGCCAGTTCGCGAATGGGGCTGATTTAGTTTAAATTTAATGTTAAGAAACAATATTTTAATAATTAAAGAATCCCTAGGCATTGGAATCTCTTCAGTGTTGGGAATGTGTTCACTAATAGAAATGATACCAAGTGGGTGACCTAGATAAACTGGAGAAAAAAAACTAATCTTTGTATTGGGGACAATCTTTTTGTTATGCTTGTACAAAGCCTAGCATGAGCTCCTGATTCCTGATGAGAGCCCCTCAGTACTAACACAATAAATGATAACAATACATTGTTGATGTATAGTTGGGGTTATTGTCATACCTTCCTTCATTATATTCAGGATTAGAAGGAAAAATATGGTGTTATGTAATTATTATTATTATTTGTATTAGAATAGCACCTGAGACCCCACCTGAGATCAGGGACCCTTTGTGCTATGCACTGTACATAAACAGCATGAGAAAGAGTCCTTGTTCTGACAACGAGGAGTCCTTGTGGCACCTTATAGACTAATAAATGTATTTGGGAATAAGCTTTCGTGGGCTAGAACCCACTTCATCAGATGCATGGAGTAGAAAATACCTCTGTTATTGAGTGACCAGACCTAAAAGTGGCAATTCTTCAACAAAAAAACCTTCAAAACCAGACTCCAACATGAAACTGCAGAACTGGAATTAATTTGCAAACTGGACACCATCAAATTAGGCCTGAATAAAGACTGGGAGTGGTTGGGTCATTACAGAGTAATCACATCTCCCCTCAGCCTTCTATTGGTTCGACCAGCGGTTCTCAGACTGTGG